ACTCTATACTATATAACTACACTATACTACACATACTATACTATACTACTACTACTTTATACTATATAACTACACTATACTATAATACTATTCTATACTACTACTCTATATTATATATAACTACACTATACTATATATACTACTACTACTATATATAATACTATTACTACTATTCTATACTATATACCTACAATATATTATATATAACTACACTATATTATATATACTACTACTACTCTATAACTACTATACTACTATACTATACCATATTATACTACTACTATACTATACTGCACAATAGAGATAGTATAATATTATATAATATAGTATATTAGTATAGTAGTGGTGGTAGAATAATACAATACAATATAGTATACTAGTGTAGTATAGCATAGTAGTAATATAATATGGTATAGTATAGTATAGTAGTAATATAATATGGTATAGTATAGTATAGTAGTAATATAATATGGTATAGTATAGTATAGTAGTAATATAATATGGTATAGTATAGTATAGTAGTAATATAATATGGTATAGTATAGTAGTATAGTACAATACAATATAGTATAATTGTATAGTATATTAGTATATTATAGTAGTAGAGTAGTATAGTATAGTATAGTTTTAGTATGGCATACTATAGATATATTATAGTATAGTAGTATAGTAGTTGTAGCATAGTAGTATAGTAATAGTAATAGTATAATATAGTATAGTATTATAGTAGTAATATAATATAATATAGTATAGTAGAATAAAGTAATAGTATAACATAGTAAAGTATAATAATATTGTATAGTATAGTACTAATGTAGTATAGTAGTAATAGTAGTATTATAGCAGTAGTATAGTATAGCATAGTAGTATAATATAGTATAGTATAGTATAATAGTAGTACATTATAGTATAGTAGGATTATAGTATAGTACAGTAGTAGTTTAGTATATTATAGTATAGTTGAAAAATAGAAGTATAGTATAATATAGTATAGTTGTATAGTATAGTATTGTATAGATGTAGTAGTATAGTATAGTAATAGTATAGTATAATATAGTAGTATAATAGTAATAGTATGGCATAATATAGTATATTATAGTATATTATAGTATAGTATAGTAGCATAGTGTAGTATAGTGTAGAAATAATAGTATAATATAGTATAGTAGTATAGTAGTGGTAGTAGTATAGTACAGTACAATATAGTATAGTATATAGTATAATAATACTAGCATATCATACCAATAATATTGCTCTATACTATATATATACTACATTATACTTCTGCAACTTTATTATTACAATTTATAAAGTTCAAATGAGAAGTTGATCTTACCACTAACATTCAATAATAGAAAGACCACCACAAATATCCAAAGGTACCAGCTGAAATAAAGCAAAGGAACCAAGTTAGAATTATTGCGCCCAAAAAAAATCAGAGCAACAATAAAAACGATTAATATGCTGAAAATCACAAAAATTGAGTTTTTGCAACAACTTTAATGGTAGGAAAAAATAGAAATTTATAAATGATAAATGTTCAGCAATATTGCATAAAATGACATGCTTGTGGTTTAAGGCTTTATACCTTATCCCAACAACTTTCTTGAAATCAGCTTCAAGAGCCCGAACCATATACTTGTGAAAATTAAATTTTGGATTACTCCCGCAGTGAGTCTGGACCAAGGATTAAAGCAAAAATAATCACCAAGAAAATAAAGAAGGAAAGATTAAGGAAACAGTAATAATCAAGGAAATTAAGAACAAAAAGGGGAGTTAAAGACAAAAAGATGCTCACTTCAACAGGAATACATACCATGATAAAACCAAGCCTCATTGTGGTGTAGTCTGATTTTGAAACAGATCCATAAAATTGCTTACCAAAAGAATGCTAACAGGAGCAATAATAAGAACAGTTAGTAGAAATTCCAATTTCCTTCAATATGTAATTATGGGAATAGATTCCCTAAATATAGTAGGTAGCACAGAACATTGTTTTGGAAACCGGACCGAACCGAGCTGGACGATTCAACCGGGATCCAGTTGGAAGTAAAATCACACAGCGAAACAAACAAGAAATAGAAAATACAGTAAAAAAGAAACAACACTAGGAATTAATATGGAAAAATCAGAAATCAGGAAAAAAATTGCGGAGACACGCCACACCAAAAAATTCACAATGAAATTTTGGGAGAAATAGTATATATCTCTCTTCTCTCTCACTCTCCTTGCTTCTCTTCACCATTGCATCGTTCTCACACTAGAACATACAAAAAGATACATTGGAAACCACAAAAGGACTCAACTCTTACTGAAAAACAAGAAAAAAAAATTCTCAGCCAAGTTTGAGTGTCACGGCACTCCCACTCTCTAATTTCAGCTTGCACGACAACATCGTAGTGCCGGATTTGAACCGCCGCTATGCTCCGTGGCAACGCCACAATGCCGAGGTTTGTAGCGTCGTAGCTGACGTGGGCAGTCCTGATACCTACATAAGAATAGAGCAGAACACAAGGAAAACAAGAAAAAACAGATAGCATAGCTCTAATGAAGGTAAAATCAGTGATAATATTTTATATGCTATCTCCTCCATACATGGATCATGATATACCTCCTAAAAGAGCTGAGTTGCTAAAAACAGAAAAATAAGAAAATGGGAAATGATTATACTATAGTCTATATTTAGTTAAAACTGTAGAAATAAGGTAGTGGTTGTGTAACTAAGCCATGTGGGTAATGGAGTCTGCTTGCGGGAAGGGTTAAGCTAATGTGAACCCACATCAGTTCCCTCCCACTTCAGAGGACTCTGCTTCCTGTGGAGTTAATTCAATAACAACGTCATCAAATGGGAAGTAGGGGAAGATATCTTCAACATTGAAGGTAGAGGATGTGAGAATAGCTGGTGGCATATCAACGTCATATGCATTGTCGTTAATTTGTTTCTTGACGGCAAATGGCCAATCTTCTGTGGACTAAGTTTTGAATAAATTCCTGTGATGAATCTTTCCTTCCGCAAGCGAACCATTACTAGTTCACGCGGTTCAAACAGCTTCTGGTGGCGGTGTAGATCAGTGTTCAGCTTGTATACTTTCATTGGATTGCTCCAGTTTGTGGCGAACATCATCAAGCATAAGTTTAAAATTTTCAACTAACTTATCTGCGGCAACATTATGACATCTAGGAATGATGGCCAGGTTCACTGTATGATTCGGCATCTTGGTATACACGATATTGAACGGGCACATTCCAGTTGATCTATTTGGCATCGAATTATAAGCGAATTCAGCCTGGCTTAAGACTTCATCCCATTGTTTTGGGTGGTCCTACACCAAACACCTAAGCATGTTGCCAAGAGTCCTATTAACCACCTCTGTCTGCCTGTCAGTTTAGGGATGAAAAGCTGAGCTGAGCTTGATTTCAGTGTTGAGTTGCTTCCAAAGTTCACGCCAAAATGGCTAATGAACTTCACATCACGATCGAACGTGACACTTCGGGGGAGGCCATGTAGTCGGACAATCTCACGGAAGAACAGACTGGCGACTCCAAGAGCATCGCAAGTTTTCCTACAAGCTATGAAATGGGACATTTTAGAAAATCTATCAACCACAACCATAATGGAATAGGCACTTGTTTTTGTGCGTGGCAACCCCAATATGAAGTCCAACTCAAATCTTCCCAAATAGACATAGGTATTGGTACTGGTGTATACAACCTGGCATTTTGTCGAACACCCTTGTAAGTCTGACACACTGGGCACCTCTCAATAAAGAAAGAGATATATCGCCGCAAATGTGGCCAATAGAACCGTTGTTGCATTTGTTCCATTGTCTTTTCTCTCCCAAGATGTGTCGCTAACCCTCCTCCATGCATTTCTTTTATCAATTGCATTCTGACCGAAGAAGATGGGATACATAAAGAAGTACCTTTAAATAAGTATTCGTGGCAAATTGAATAGTCTCCCCAAGGTCTGTTAGCCGAACAATGTTCCCATGGCTTGGCAAAGTCGGGGTCTTGTTGATAAAGGTTTTTAAGTGATTCTAAGCCCGTAAGTTCAGTTTGTAATTTGGCGATCAATGTCGAACGCCTACTTAGTGCATCCACCACTCGATTTTGGCTGCCCGACTTGTGCTTTAGGACAAAGCTAAATTTTTGTAGGAATATTATCCACCGAGCATGCACTCAATTAATACTCTTATGGGTGTTCAAATATTATAGTGATTGATGATCACTACATAAAATAAAGTCTTGGTGAAGCAAATAATACTCCCATTGCTTCAAGGCTCGAACAACCGCGTACAACTCTTATTCATAAGTGGACCACTTTAGCCTTGCCAGACTTAATTTTTTTATGAAGAACTCAATGGGCTTGTTATCTTGAGAAAACACGACTCCGACGCCGATTCATGAAACATTTGTATCCACATTAAAAGGTTTGCTAAAATATGGTAAGGCAAGTACAGGAGCTGAAATCAAGGTGGTCTTGATCGTTTCAAAATTATTTTGTTGTTTGACAATCCACACAAAAGTCTTCCGCTTTAAACAATCTATGATAGGCGCAAGAATCACATTGAACCTGCGAATAATTCGTCTATAAAAATGTGGGCTCCAAAAATTCGGCCCCGGCCTCCCCGCCGCGCATACTGATTGCATTTACTTAGGCGAGGGGAGTTTTAACGGACTAAGTTCGAGGGTAAATTTTGGAAGGCAGATGGGTTTGTAGATAAGACACTACCCAGAGATTTCGCCCTCATTTTGCGAGGACTTTATGATCTGAGTTCTGGTTTCCTATAGGAGCAAGCCCCTATAGTTAATTACCCCTCCCGATCACGAGAGAGAACTTTCGATTAAGGCTAGTCATCGATCAGATAC